ATCTAATATCCCCTTTCACTATTTTATAATAATATACAGTATTGCCTTAATTTATAGGTTGCCTACAGACTCGACTGGGCAAACACATATGCACTGTCCTGAATTTCACTCAGTGTGAGCTTGGGAGATAGGAAGAGGAAATATGCTCCTCTTATAAAAGGTCTGGTCCTAGAAGCATTTACATTTGTTAATGTGGTTACAGGATGGAGCACTGAATTAATTTTTATTTGACTTTTAAAAGACTGTTTTAAGGGTATTATATTAGGGTATGAAGGGGCTGATTCAAAGCCCACAGAAGTCAGTGATTGCCAGAAGAACTCCCATTAACTTCATTAAGCTTTGACTCAGGCCCCAGATCTTCCTGGTGCGTGACCAGTGAGAATGGTATCATGTAAAATAAAAGGGGCAAACCGTTTTCCTTTCTCCTACCTGGCAATCCCTTCTGTGTCACCAGTACTTTGACCATCGTTCCACCTAGGAACAAAATAACCAGCTCTCTAAGCTAAGGTGCACAGACTGAGAATTTTTGGATACGACTATCACCCTCTTTTCTCTCAGCAGAAGATCTCTATAGAATACGCCTACCTTGCAAATTTTTCCTTATCACCAGAGATTTGATCATCATCATACCTATAAACAAAAGATGGTAAGTAAATTCAAAGGTTTTGTGCAAAAGAATTAGTCAAACACAAAGCAGAAGGCCAACAAGACACTTGCTTGTACATAACAACTATAAATTACAGCACGAGAAGGATGATGCAATGGACATGATAAAACACAAAAGAAAAAGTAGGCTCTGCTGAAACTTATTAAACAATCGACATCCTGTTGTTAAATGCTCTTTTTACTTATTAATATTTAGAAGGTCAAAATATGTCCCACTGGATTCACTTAAAAGACATGAGCCTTCTGTTTCTTGGTTGAGAAACTGATCAACACCCATTACACAAAGAACCGTTTATCTGTTACTGAGAGCTACCTCTGAAATATTCATGGTTGCATTAGTAGTTGACGTAGAGCTGAAAGGGACTGCAGGCTGAAGTCATCATTACCCATTGCATTCAGCAGAGGGCAGTGGTAACATATCTACAATGTGGGAAGATGGGTACATAAGTACATACCTAAAGGTAGGACGCTATCTCATGGAGTCTGTCGTGTCCACCATTATTTATATGCTACCATAGTGTAACATGGCATAAAATAAAATTTGCTGTGTTCACATTTCTGACTATCATTTCACAATGCATGCAGGTGTCAGCATGACCTCTTTTAGACAGAGCATTAGACCTACTTTCATGCATGTAGATCTCAGAAGGGAAGTATTTACAAGCTAAAACACAAAGGCCTCTAGGTGTACATAACTTTTACCTTCTAGTGCAGCGTTTCTCAACCAATGGGTTACAAGAACATATAAAAAATTGCAAACAAATTTTAAAAATGGATCTTCCTTTAAAGGAGAAAAATGTGGGGAACCATAGCTTTTCCCTTGCAGGCTGGCAGACTTCCAGCCAGCCAGGGGCTGCTTGGGGCCCCCCACGCCCCACACACCCACCCATGGCTCCACATACTGGGGGTCTAGGGGCAGGGGGCAGCAGGTTGGGAGCGAGTGGCACTGGGTCAAGACTGGTCATCAATGTTTCCAAATAGGTCCTGGTACAAAAAAATTTGAGAATCACTGGTCTAATAGCTGCAGGCTTCATACAATGTACTCCTAAATCCTACCATATAAGCGTACATTTTTCATGGTTTACTACCACCGATTAACCCATGTTTTTTACAATTACTCAGTAAACAGAAAAATCTTAAATCTTTTAAGTGAATCCAAATAAAAAGTTTTACATAATAAAAGAGGGTATTTCACTACTGAACAGCACTGACTGCATATTGGGTTTTTTTGCTAAAGGACAACACTTGCACATTACACTTGGAAATTTAACTTTATACATAGAACAAAAAAAGCACATGCAAAAAAAAAATCCAATCCAATGAACAAGAAAAAAGTTATAAAAAACACAAAAAGGGTAGTTTAAGTGAGCTGCACGATATGCATCCCAACTCCTTCCTCCTTTGTTAATTTTCTAGTTGATTGCCGGAATTAAAAGAAGTGTTTAGACATGTATGTTTCAAGAACTCAGTAATCAGGCTAAAGTATTTGCTGAAAATAAAGAGGATTAGTGTTTAAGCATTAATACTCTCTTTTCCAGGGTACATAATTTATTAGAGGGTGTGGCCCTTTACAGCTTCCACAAATTTAACTATAACAATTACGATGTTTTTTTCTCTTCTGAAATACTAACTACCATCAATGCATAAGTTAGTAATTTATTTACCGAAAACAAAACCAAAAGAATAATTTTTTTAAATTGCAAGGAATCTTAGGTAAGGAATTTGCTCCTGAGTCTCCTACCAGTGATTTTCTCTATCCTTTGCACTTCTTCACCCAAGCTTTACAATCATGTTTTTCTCTTCCATTATGTTCCATTTAAACCATCAAAACAAGAGATGAGGTAGGACTGCCATGGCCTTTGTTTCTAAACTGTATATGCTTTATGTGGAGACAGTACATTCTGCACTGTCTCTAAAAAAACAGCATAGATAACAGGCTTGGCTACCATCAGGCGCATGTGAACTTAACCTACAAATTAAGACAAGATAAGAACCTTGCTGCAAAAAACCTCCCAAAAACACAACCTCAGGATAACATTTCCAAAGGCTCAGAACCTTTATCTGATGATCACCTTGAACCTAGACCCTGATCTCCCCCTAACACTAACTGCGAATTTATGTGGACAAATCAGGTCATTATAAAATCATAATGTTTTACTCCCACAGCACCTGCCTGAGGCTCTGAAAGTACTTCACAGACATGAAAGGTCACTTTTTAAAAATACTGCTCTCAAAAAAAATGAGCTGGATTAGCTAAGCAGAGTTACCACTGACTTTAATAGGCATGCTACATATAGTTTTAACACAGTATTCCTATCCATCTTGCATAGAAAAACCATGCTAGAACCTTGCGTTTAAACACAGCTGCTGCTATCATAACTGCAACTGCAATTTGCAAAATCACCCAGTATCACTGAATCCTGTTTAGTGACTCCCATTTTTCTTTAATAGGGAATTACAAACCATGTGACCAAAACTGAAATGAAAGGTGAATAATGACAATGAGGCTGCTTTTACTTCTATATTAAAATGTCACTTGAAATATTCAACATTCCATTTTAACCAAATTTGCTATTATGCTACTGCTAAAGACATGCATACAACAAGATTATAAACTTTGCTCTTAAAAAGCTAAAGTCCAAGTCCAGTGTTTTAATTATAATAGTTCAGAATTGAATTAATACTCAGTATAAAACCCATTTTCAGTGGCAGAAAGACACGTTCAAAAATGACAAGCAACAGAAGCTCATCTCTCAAATTTAAAATAGTGAAACTAAAAAAAAATAATTTCAGATGAGGAAATTGTGGTTTGTGTGGTATACATGACAGTAGTTGTAGAAGCAATTAAAATGCACATACTGTATGTTGTTGAAAAGCAACAACTACGTAAGCAGTTATCTGAAAAGTTTTACTTGAACAAACTGTTCCTCTAGTGCATGATAATCTGTGGGCTGAGATCTGATGCGTGCCATCCTCCTTACTGGCTCCTTATGCACCACTGTGTTGTATGCCTTATTTGCCAATGCAGAGAAAATTGAAAGGTAACTAGATACAGGTCAGGACATTCTGTTGGCAACACTACCAAACATATTTTAACTTATGGGATTAGAGTTTTGTATAATCTTAATTGTGTGCTTGGTTTTTTATTCCACTGAAAAAGCCAGTCATACAAGCTGGTTAGTTATAAAGCTCACCTTGAAAATTTGCTGGGACCTTCACCATCTTCATCATCAAAGTCCATTCTAAAAAAGTAAGATTTTTGAGTTAGTAAAAAATCATTAAGAAGCCATCAGTTCAATGAGCATTTTATTAACCAATGTCTGTGCTGCTGCTGCTCTCCCCTTACCCCTTCCTAATCTCAAAAAAGGATGGTTGTGTTAAACATGCTGGATTAATGACTCTCAGAAGCCTGAACCAAACCCTAAAGAAATCAACAGGAGTTTTTCCATTTATTTGAATAAGCTTAGGATCTGGCCCTTGCCAAGTGAATTTTTCTGTCAGTCACATAACAGCAGTGCACGCTTCCTTACACCAACTTGCTCAGATGCTTTTACTCAAATCTGGAGAGGCAATCACAATTAAGAGTGAGAGAGAGAAACCTTACTGCTTTCTACAACCACTTGGTTTTTGGCTTCTCTGCTACGACTGGCTGCTAATTAGTCTCAACCACTATTAAATGTGGTATTTTTCACTTGTCCATTAGGAACCACAACCACCAATTCACTTCATACAAGTCGCCACCAATCAGCCCTCAGACAGAAGTAAGTTTCAAACGCTACTGATCAGGGCTGGACTGAAATAAATCAGTGTCATTAAATGCTGACAAATCTATTACACAGTTGTCAAGAGGTCAAAGTCGAAATCCTGACCAAGCCTAGTAGCCCATCAAGCTACTGCGATTAGGGTACACCAGAATCTGTAGCCATTTCACAGCTGGGTCAACTGGCATCTGATTCAGGTCCTACACAATTCACTGGTTCAAGACTGGAATGCTGTTATCTTCCCCAGCCACGACCAAATTAAAGCTTTATGTTTGCAGCCCTGCTTTATACATCTGTGCTGATATTTCTGACACCTTGAAGATCTTTACAATAACAAGTGATGTAAATTATAGTTCAGGCACACAGAAAACTACAACATGCATACAAAAACTTTTTCCAATCTTAATATTAAAAAAAGTTTCAAGGAATAGAGAGAGACAGAATTAGAGAACTGAGGGTACAATTAATATAGGGAAAAAATAACCATTTGAGAAAAGAGAAACTATGAAATATGGGT